AAGGGAAGGGAAGGGAAGGGAAGGGAAGGGAAGGGAAGGGAAGGGAAGGGAAGGGAAAAAAAAGGAGAAAGAAAAAAAAGAAAAAGAAAAATGAAAGGAAAAGTGCAGAGATGTGAAGGGTGCAGGATTTGAGGGCAGACTCCTGCTCACACACTGCAGGAATCCCTGGAGAGGAGGGAGGTTTCCTCCTCCTCAAGCCCAGCTGGGGACCTAGATAAACAACAGCCAGGCTCAGCAGTCCCGGGTAAATACAGAACGGAGACAGTTGTGGTTAAGCAAATAATTCAGAATGGCTTTATTATGGGCTTGCTCCCAACCCCAACAAACCCTCCCTGCTCCCCAACCCTCTGCTCTCCTGGTTCTGGATTTCTCAGGCTGGAAAACAGGACTGAAACAGCAGCACTCTGGCTTGTCCAGGAGAATTAGAGCTACCTGGGCTTGTAACAGGTCTGCACAATGTACCTTGCAAGAGTACGTTAATTATCATAATGTACCCTACAAGGTACATAACCATAACGTACCCTGCAAGGGTAGAGCAGTACTGGAAGGTGCTCTCCAACCTGCCTCTTCACACTCATAATGAAGGAGACAAGATCTCCTGCAAGGTATGAATGTTCTGCAAGCCAAAGCATCCAAGTAGGAACAGCTGTGCATGGAGACGCTCCCGGTGGAGGCAGGAAGATGTCCAGGCTGCAGGTCCCCCGTGCTGTGGGGCTGCTGTGCCCCTGCAGGGTCCTGCGCGCCCTTCCTCGCGAGCCTCAGCAGGACACCAAAGCAAAGAGCACCACGGAGGTGCTGGGGCTGTGGTCAGAGGTACTAAAGAGGTGGGATCCAAAACCTTCCCAGGATGGAGACACATTTGAGAGTTAAGACATACGTGTGTCTATAACACGGGTGCCACAACTCCTGCACCCTCTGATGGTCTCCACAATAGGTTCGGAGCCCCAGGCTGCCATGGAGYTCTACCACGGTCCTGCTTCAGAAGAAGACAGTGGGGGTCCCTCCAAGACTATTCTATGACCCTGAGTTATCGCAGTTTAAAAAACAGCTCCAAAATATCAGCGGTCTCAAATTTTAGCTTCAGGTTTCATGATCCTTTTGTGGTCACAGATGACCTGAACACCTKGTTATTTTTCATTCTTCCTGTGACTGTTTTTGTTCTGATTTGTCACCCTAAATTTCAGCTTATCATTTCCTGACACTCTACCCCACCTTTCCCTTAATGCTGCATGAGCAAATGCAGGCTGAAAGGTTACGTTAACTCTCACTTCACTGTCTCATCTGAAAATGTTTTGCCTTTCAAAATCAGACCTTCAACTGTTATCTGCTTGAAATCCTGGACATGAGCCAAATTTCCAGGGAAATAAGCACTAACTGATGCAAGATGTCACAAACATATGGAAAAAATAGCACAAAGCAACATATAATTTCAAAAAGCTGGCCTGGCCTGGAATGCAGAGCAGGCTTGAGGGAGAGGTCAAGGGGCTAAAGGTTTTAAATACATGCAAGGTTGTCCCTTACTTCAGGATAGTTCTCTAAGAGCTGGCTGCTTTATCAAATGTTAGGTGTGTATTTCAATTTTATTTATGTCCTCGCTACCTCTCTAGGAAGCAGCCAGATCAACAGCAAGGCCGGCCTGGCCCCAAAGGGCTGTGACATTATTACACTTCTGTTCTCAGATAAAGCACCGCTTTCCTCCATGACATCACGCCGGGGGACTGCAGCCACCTGCTTCGTGCTGCCCTGCACTCTATCAACCCAAACCGAGCTTCAGATAAACAGMAGCAAGCCCGCTTATCTGCATGCCAGCAGGACAAGCAGAGGACTGGGGTCCGTGATAAAGAGTCTCTCCTCTTCCTCCAATTATTCGCCCTTTTTTAGATAACATTAGCTCCCGGGATTCTTGAAGTCCTCCTGGAGAACTAGCTTCAACTGCATTTTGCACTGAAGATGAAATACAAACACTCTGCTAATGTGGACTCTGCTTCAATATTTCTCCTGACCCGCTTCCACTTCTGTGCATTTCCTTTTATGTTTTGAATTTTGCCTTGTTATCCATGCTCCTTGTTATCCATGCAGGCATCCTACCACCTTTGATTGACTTCCTACATGTCTATATCCCATGAGCTTTTTCCAAGAAAATTCCTGAATGGGCCAAAGTCCATTCTCCTGAAGTCCAGAGCCGTGACCCGCTATCTACCCTGTTGTCCCCTCTCATGGTCCTCATCTCCAGTATCTCRTGGCCACTGCAGCCAGGGTTGCCCCTGATCTTCATTGATGACGATCAGTGTAACCAATAGATGGATTCACCATTGACAACTTCCAAGGAACACAGACTTGAGGCAATAAGGAATCGCTCCTGTGTAATCATAGGTTTCAAATTAAGACCATCCCCTAAAGTGAAGGCCCTGTTTATTTGTTTTTTTTTACCATTCCAGACATCATAGTACTCCAAACGTCAGAGAAAAGCGTTCCTTGTCCGTATGAGCAATCTCGAATGCATTCAAAGAATGCAGCTTGCAGCCTTGAATAGGGAGGCAACAGGGAAGGCAGGCAGTCAAGACACATGATGAAGCTTCTTGGCATTGACATTTCCCTGTGAAGAAAATATGCAAACATGACAGCCAAAGAATAAAGAGATGAAAAGGTTTACCTGGGAGACAGACTGGAAAGCAGTTGATTTTTTTTTTTCTCGCAGTACAATTACAATAGAAAAAAAAATGCATTTCTACTCAGCTCACTACTCTGTCCCCGTATAACGAGCTCGTACAAGATATTACGGATGAGGTTCAGCAGAAGACTGGGAAGACACTCCCAGCAATGCTGCATGAAGAATGCTTTGTTTTGTTTAGAGGAAGGATGTAAATCCATCTGATTCTGGACACAGGCCAACCACAAACTCACAGGCTTAGGCAGACATTTTGCTGAAACRCAAACTACCCCAGAATTATTACTGTGGAGTTTCTTGTTCTTTCAGTGAAACAGCTGGCCAGGATCAAGAATAGGACGGAAAACTATATAGACCATTCAGCTGATCACACTTCTGCAGCTTTCTTCGTTACAGGATATTCTGAAAATGTTTAATAACTCTCACTTTTATTCCTACCCATACTACAGAACATCTAGGTGCAAAAATCTGTAAGCAGTGACAGTCTTCATCCTGCAGAGACCAAAGTGCACGCTCGCTAATACCATTTGTGAGCAATTTCAATGAAGAAAAGGAGTCGCAGAACTTAATGGTGGCATCAAGACTGCAAGCAGGACTGGAGCCTCTCCTGGTGCACGGCTCCTTCATCCTCCCTTTGGCTCGTAGCCCTCGGCAGCTCCTGAGCCCCTCGGCGCGGTGAGGCAGCAGAGGGAATTGATCCCAGGAATGCGATTTTAGGCAAAGACTTCAGAGCACACCCTAAACTCCATGGTTTTTACCCGTGTGAGCCCAAAAGCCGGTGCGGGAGAGCGGGGTGCCTCCCTGGGCAGGGAGCAGGATGTGCCCCGGCCGGGTGGCCAGGAAGGCGGCAGGGAGGCAGTGGGGCAAAGCAGGACATTCCTCCTTTTATCAGGAGGCTGTAATGGATACACGGGCTGAGGAGGGGAGCGCGCTGCAGGAAGGATAACAAACACTATGCACAGCAATGGGAAAAGCCTTAGCTTACATATTTAGCAAGTCAAGATTAAAACCATCTGGTCTGCGCATTTCCCAGAGAGCAAATTCAAAATTGCAGGATCCTTCCCTGCTTCCTTCCACCCCGCTGCTTCCCTGCATCCCGCCGCGGCTCCAGGCTTCCTTGGCCCTTTCTCTCGCACTCTCCTGATGTCTCCCCCTGCGCTCTGGCCTTGTCTTCCTCCTTCAACGCTTCCCCCACGCTCGTTCCCTTCCCCTCTTCCCTGCTCTCCATTCCTCCCCATCGCCTCCTGCTCCTACTTTGCTCATTCATTTCCGATCCGCCCCTCCACAACATGATCGTTCTCCTGCTAAATCTCCTCTCAGACAATCATAAAAATAAAACAGAGATAAGTGCTGCTTTTCCATTCCAAGCGTCCCCATGATGTGATAAAGTTCCCCAGACCCTCTTATCCCCGCAGGACCGCTCCATCGCCGGAGCAGGGAGCAGCCGGAGGTCGCAGTGGAGTCAGAGGGGATTTGCCACGGTTTTGTCTGACGGCTGCTTATCTCCGTCACCAAGACGCTCCGGGGATGACTTCATTCATATTGGCCCTTCCTTAAGCGAATGCGAAGGCCTAGATCCATGGGAGCCCGAAGTGTGTCAAGCAGATGTCCTGCTCAAAGGRTGTGAGAGCCAAAGGGCAGACGGGGCTGCAGGGTTTTGTTCAGCCTGGAGAAGAGAAGGTTTTAGGGGGCACCGTAGAGCAGCTGCCCATTGCCTACAGGGAGGTTATCAAGAAGATGCAATGAGGCTCTTCACGGTAGGGCATGGTGAGAAGCAGAGAGGCAGCAGATGCAAGCTGAAACGAGAGGGGGTTTACGGCTTTATGGAAAAATGTTTCCACCGTGATGACAGTCAAGCAAAGGAAGAGGTTGCCCACGGAGGACAACTCCATCCTCGGAGGTTTTCAAGACCAGTCTGGATGAAACCTAGAGTAACCTGGTCTGACATTAGAGTTGAGGAGGAAAGTGGACTAGATGACCTTCCAGAGTTTCTTCCAACCCAAATTATCTTATGATTCTACATGGAGGAAAGTAGAGGTGTAATAGAGACCTACAGTCACTCTTTTCAGAAAGACTCAGCCTTTATTTATACACAAATAACCAGATGATTTAATGCACAAATACCTGATTTTTCACTTGCCTTTTCCAAGCTCACCAACACTAGAAAAGCAAATGCAACGACATGGTTTGTGCAACCACCGGCTGTTTCTCCCTGCACCAAAGCAGGTCCAGCTGCTAAAATTCCAAGGTCCCTTTCCATGTCTTCTCTTTGCACCACACGATCCCTCTACTTCCCCTCAAAGTCCCCCTGTCCCTCGCCTGCCTTTCCCCCACAGCTCTGCCCTTTCGCGCTGCTGCGAACACTGGGGCAAGGGCGAGTGCAGGATATTTAGGCTGAGAGAAGAGCCTGGTTCCCACGCCAGGGCCCTTGTTCCGGCTGAGCCCATTTAATCCAATTGGTGTCCTGCCACGACAGCCGGGCAGTGCGCACGCGCTGCAGAACCGCTGCTCTGACAGCCCCTACCAGGGTGGTCACCAAGTCTTTAGGATGCCCTCTCAACAGTGGGAATGAAGGTGCCCTCCGAAGGGCAGGTGTCCATGTGGAACAACCCTGGGCACGACCAAGCAGAAGGTCCCAGGACACAGCGGGTGCAGAGGGCCCTGGGCGCCCCATACAGAAAGGCAACGCTGGGGCTTCAAGACAACAACGTACCAAGACTGGAAGGAATATAAAGACACAGAGATGAGCATGGGGCTTGGGACGCTGCATCTCCAGCACACCAGGAAAGAGGACCAGGAAAGTGAGGCCAGAATGTGAATGTCCATCGCCCCGTGGTACCACATTGTAATGCCTGTCTGCTGGATGCCAGATGAACTGCAAAACCCCGTCTCCAGGGCAGTCAGGGACTTTATGTTTCCATAACTCCTAGCAGCGAGGGACAGGCTTCAGATCAAACCCTGCCTTCTTTTATAGCAGTGTTAAGAGACCAGACAAGAAGTGATGTCATCTTTCTCCATCCACCCACACCTCCCTTGGCATATGACATCACTCGCACGACTTGCGGCTCTGTCTGTGTTTTTCTAAGTGCTCCTTTAAACTCTCCTTCTAAAGCACATTCAGCTTTATCTGCAAGAGATGCCTGTTAGCGCTTTCCAAAGAAACTGCTTTTCCTGAAAAGCTTGAGATCTTCCCATTTGGAGCTCATGGCAACAGCATTCCTGAGATGCTGATTAACAGCTCTGTGCTAATGCAGGAAATGGAGCCAGCTGCTCTCTGGAAATAGCGACTATTTAAGATAAACAGGGTTTTAGTAAAAATCTTTCACCCAATTCCACATATTCTTATAGGACCAAAAACCCTCAGAACTGGTATTTTCTCTCTTTTCCTTAGGAACACCTTAGGAAGCGGCTGCAGCTGGAATCCCATCCAGGTAGTTAGGCTGCAGCATGGCAATGACAATCCCTAGCACAAAGTGACTTTCTGTGGCAGAGAGGATCTGCACAACGTATAGGCATATAATATCCTTGCCCAGCCCAAACTTGCCCTTTGAGGTGGTACCCAGTGCTGTCCCTGGTGCACAGCTACCAGCTGATATCCCAAGGGAAGGGACTCTGCTGCTAGGACATCTGTCTCAGCAGATGTTCTGCACGCTGGTCAGAAGAGGTTCTTTCTCTTACAATCCCGTAAGAAACCCAAAGTGATGCATGGATGTAGATTTGGCAACAAACACCCGAAGGTAACAAAGAGCTGAAAAAAAAGAGAGGCTAGGAACACCAGAAAAGATCTATCCCCATGGCTCTGGAGTCTTCCTATTGCAAAGCGTTGGCTCAGTGCAGCCCTTCTCATGGAGTCTCCGGGCACTCAAAGAGTTCTTTGTTTGGGGTTCGAGGATCATCTGGGAAGGAAAATCACAAAAAGCTTTTTTTGGAACAAGCCACTAATGAAATTCCATCAAGTTTTCCCAAACAACAATAGAGCTGGAGCCTTGAGGCCTCTCCATCCACTGACAAAGCTGAGCAGAGTGGAGACCCACTGCAATGATGTCTGCCAGGATCCTTTTGCTCAGCTCTTCCATATTCAGCAGTGGTTTAAGGCGCTTTGGTGCGGGGCCAGGAAACGTTTCGGCTGCCCCACCATGTGTCTCCTCCAACTCTCCCATGCTGCTGGTGGAGACTTCAGCTCRGGACAAGCCTCTCGTGCCAACAATCATTCTCAGGTACAGGCCTTGGCAGAAACAACCCCYGTTCTTTGTGTTCTCTTCTTTCCTTTCCCATCCTAACCCACGGAGCCCACCCACTGCTCTGCTCCCCACAAGGGCTCGGCTGCTCCAACATCTCTCCGAAGCACCACCCAAGCCAACTGCAAAAACTCATCTGCCTTCTGCCAAATATCCCTGCAGTTTTTCCTTCCCCCGTTTTCTTTGCTCGGCTTCTTACGGAGGATGATAAATTCATTTTGTCTCTGACCTCGTGCACTGCTATTCAGAGGCAAGCGAAGCTCTGTGCCAGACGCTGAGCGCAACAGAAGCCAGAGACGATGGACTTCTCACCAGGYAAACAAATGTCCTTTCCATACACCCGCTGGTGTCAAGGGGAGGAAGGCGGCTGCGCCCCGCAGACCCTGGCGCGGATTCTCCCCCCAGACAGTGTGTGCTGCCACCGAGCAGCTCGTTAGCCCTTCCTGAACGAGCACAGGGCCCGTCTGTGGCGGTGCCGCTGTGGCTGCTGGCACGGGGACAAGCTGGGTGACACAGAAGAGTGGCAAGGGATGGCTGCTCAGTCACACGCTGATCTGAATTGCTGAATTGCAGTGAAGCTCTTAAGCTTTGAGACTGGTAGAGGYGTGGAGAGCGAGGACAACCCCCGTGAAGCGAATGCAAGATGTTCCTGATCGTTCAGGTTTCCCTTCCTGTGCAGGACACTGCTGG